GAATTATTTTTTTTACTATTAACTAAATAGCACTTTATCCAGCTTTTATCTGTCTCAAGACAGGCTGACTTGTTTTTGTGGCAATAAATCTTCCCAAACCTGTTAAAGCAACCGATTCACTGTGTTGTGATCTTTAAATATGTCTATTCTCATGAATGTCCTTCCCCAAAAGGGAGGTGATGGAGTAAATGAGTGAGTGTCGCCCTGGGTCATGAAGCTTTTTTAATTAGCACTATTTTAAATACAGCTGTAAAGGGCTCCAGCTGAGTGGAAAATTGTCCAGCTGAGGGTTCAAAGCTACACCTTTTATGAAGCTTTAAGACAGGCTTAGCATAGACAGCGTTGCATCTTGTTAAATTAACTCAACTCCCCCAATGTAATGTTTGAAATTGCTATGATAACAACCACAACAGTAGAATATTTGGCTTTATTTTGCCATGGCATTGTGTATTTGGTTTAGAATTTGACAGTATAATACAGATAAAACATTATTTCCCAAGAGCAGGCAGCAGCATCATCTTCCCATGTGCATTTAGATCAGTTAAATGTCAGAACGAAAGATACATCAGTGCTTAAATGAAAAATATAAAATTATAAATAAATAATACAAACCTTTTGGGCCTTAATGAAATACTCAACTAAATAAAATCTTGTTGTTTGTGTATGCCAGCACAAACTTGTCATTATCAGATTTATCAGGCCAGTACAGAAAAAACACAATTTGTTAATTTGGCTTTATTAGGTTAGGAGTAAAATCTGATTGCATGTCCACCGCTGTAAATCTTTAATGGGTTGCAGTTTGGTTCAAATAGCGTAAGCCAGCCATCCTGAGTGTTGCTCCAGTGCCAGCCGCAGTTCGCAGTGGAGACCCGCATGGAGAACAATTAGCAATTGCTTCCTTCATTTGGCAAAAGTAAAAGTAAAGTCGAAGTAAAAGTAGTGTAAATTCATCTTGTTCCATTTTCAGATTAGGAGTGCAACCAGCCCTCCCACTGCTCCTCCAGCGCCGGCCACTGCTGCCGTGACAGTTCCTGTCAGACCAGCTGCACCTACAGGAAGATCACACAGGTTTAATCAAGGTGTCAAACTACACAGGGGATGAGACAGACTACATGAAACAGTAGCACAGCAGTGTCATTATATTGTACCTAATTAAAACCATAAGATTAATATGCATTTTAAACATCAAATTAGCATTAGGATTTTACCTGCTGCCTGCAAAACAGCCACTGTACTTCCTGCTGCCACTGCTCCTCCATTAGCAACTGCAGCAGCTGACATCATGCTAGCAGCATAGGAACCCACTGCAATGCCAGCTGAGGTAAAACCTATACCAGCCAGGACAAAAGGAGCCCCGACCACAGCGCCGGCTGCACATGGACAAAGAATACAACAGAGGAAACATTGTTGCTAATTTGTTAGACCACTTTAAAATGGATCATGCAAGATGTGATAATTTCTACATGAACGTTTGGTAAAATCAGTTGAAAAAGTGAACACAGGTGATCCATAAAGGCTTTTCAAAGACTTACTTGCTCCTGCTCCGACTAATGCAATTGTTACTGAAAAAAAGAGATGAAACAAAAACACAAAAATCACCATTTAAAGATCATCTGGTTCAATCATAGACTGAATCTCATTATTACATTTTTATAAGGAAAAACATATAGATAAAAGTATCCTTTCAAATAAATGTATCAGTATTATCAGTGATACTCACAAAGCCCCATGTCTTGCTCTGCTTTGATGAGTATTGGACTGGGCTGAGTTTTATATAGGCTACTTTATGACGCTTAGGTATCATTTCTTGGGAAATGAAAAGAGGGCGTCACAGATTCCTTATCTGGGACCTTTAGCACCTCCCAGAGGGCAGAGGCTGAAACAGACAGTGAGGAAGTTAGGATGTGTTATATAATTTAACCTGCCCTGTGTTGTTGTACAGAGATTGAGTTGATGGGAGCAGGGAGCCTATGATTGTGGAGGATCTGTTGACAGTGTGCTGCACTTTTTAGACCAGTGGTTCCCAAGATTTTCTTTAGTAGACCCCTTTTCTATGAGTAAACTGAAAACCCCTGACTCACTGACACATTTTATAGATATTTCATATAAGCATAACAATAGTACAGAATAACTGATAAACTATGTGAATGTAACTTTTGTTTAAGTCTTCAAAGTTTAGATCTTAATTCTAAACTTTTAATTTAGTTTTCTTCACAGAAACAAAGAAAATGTTGAGATCCAGACCTTACTGTGCATATTTTTTAAGTTTTCTTACATCCCTTCAAATGAAAAAGGCCCTCATGACCCCCTGTGAAGTTTTGATGACCCCTAGTGAGGGTCTCGACCCCAAGTTGGGAACCACTGGTCCAGACAGTCACACCAAACTGTTAAAGATGTAGTGAGGACACTTTCAATGATTATTATAAAAAACTGTCAGAGTATTCACTGTTTCACTTTGAACGAAGTTGTCTGAGGAAGACTGTGCTGGGCTTTTTTGTTGGTGCAGTCTGAGTTAATACTGAATTTGACTGTGTTGCTTATATGTATACCAAGAAATTAAAACAAGTCTGATGGTTATAGCTTCACCTAAAATATGTACGGAAGATTTAGGGTGCAGTGCCAGAAATCATTGGGTTTTGGATGTATTGAGGTTGTTGTGGCACCCAGTGATTGATTATTGCTTGACCAACCTGCTTCATATTACTGTGCCCCTTGTTTGTTGGATATGGGGCCTATTATGCTTATATCACCAGTGTACTGAAGGACGGTTATGAAACTGTTGGTGTGTAAGGAGAATAGTCAGTGTGATAAAATGCATCTTTCCAGGTCTCCATGGTGGAGGGGAGGTTGTAACTGCAACAGAACAGCTAGTGCATCACACACTGCCTCCCCCACTGAATAGTCAGATTCCCCATCAACTTCCAACAGGAATGTGCAAGGAGAGTCAAGTGGAGGTCAGAATCTGACGCAGAGCTGCAGGAGCAAGTTGTTTTGAAGCAAACGGCAGGAAAGGCGAGGCTGACCCAACTCCTGATTCATTCACTACTTATAGCCAATACCGACCACATTAAAAAGGAACATCATGGACATGATGTCAACATATACAAAACTCTGCATGCTAAAAGGAATAGATCATCCTCTTAATCAAAAGCCACACCTGGAAATCTGCAATAAAGCCGTTTTATTTATACACTTCATACAGTTATTTTATATACATTTTCAATGATAAGATTTTGATGTTACAAAAATAGTCCTAACACGCAATTAAAACAATGACATCACAAAGTACACGCAACTTGTATCTTCAACAACAATAAATAACACTAAATCTTTTTTGTAAAGGCACTTTTTTGAAACAAAAAGTCCTTCAAAGGCAATGCAGAATAAAGTGACCCACGCACACAGATTACTTTCTCCACAACAAAAATACTACCCTGACATCCCAACAATACTATATGTGTTCCTCCTGCCAAGGAACACAACCTGCAGCTGAGACTAAATAATTACACAGAAGGTTTTGTTGCATTTTGGCAGTTTCTGATGGGTTGTGTTCCTCTCTATGCTCCACCGGCTGGAAACTCCCCATCCCTTGGCTCCTCCAGGTTCCCTCAGTGATGCTGTGGTCAGCATTCTCCCAATCTGCAAAGGCTGGAGGTGTATAGGCCTCAGACCTGCGCTCACAGAGGAAGTTATGGATGCATAGGGAGGCCATAGTTATCTTAACCACCTTTTCTGGTTCTAAACATATGGTGGACCTGAAAACCCTCAACCTGTTTGCAAGAATGCCAAATGCATTTTCCACCACTCTCCAGGCCCTTGAGAGACGGTAGTTCAGTACCCGTTGACTTTGGTCCATCTGCCTGCACGGATACGGCTTCATGAGGTCAGGCCTTAAAGGAAATTCCTCATTGCCTACAAACATGTACGGCATTGTTATGTCGGAGTTGGGCAGTGAATCAGGTGGAGGAAAGTTCAGCAGGTCCCGATCCATCGCTTTACGCAGGTCAGATTGAGCGAAAAGTCCAGCATCTGAGACCCGACCTTGGGTATCCACACAGGTATAGATGAACTTGTAATTTGCATCCACAGCCGCCATCATTATCACAGAGAACCCGGCCTTGTAACTGTGGTGAAGGCTTCCACTTTTTGCTGGAGGTTGTATGTAGATCCGTCTTCCATCAAGCGCACCGAGGCAATGTGGAAATTGCCATTTCAATTCAAAGTCCTGTGCTATTGTCCGCCATTCTGCCTCCGTTGATGGTGTCTAGTAGTAGAATAGAAAAACAGTAGAGGCTATGAGTTGAACTTTATTTGGTACACTGATTATTATATTTGCCACACATGGTAAAAAATAATACATTTCTGCGGTACAGTGAATATGAATTCATTATTCTATAACTCTCACATTACAATATATACATTTATTTTGCTTCCTGTTGGGAGTCACCACAGCTCCTCATCTGTTGATGTGGCATAGGCTTTTTACCCCAGATGCCCTTACCCTAACCCATTTAACCAGCAATAAAGAATGTCCTGGCTTGTGTATCCCCAGTGGCTGGGAGCAAACTGGGGTTCAGTGTGTGGCCTATGGACTCTTGGACATCTCTTAAGTTGCAATAATTACATGTAAAGTATCATTAAAAGCAGTACCTTTTCAAAGTGCAAATATTGTGAGAAAAGGTTATGACCATATTGCTTAACAGAGAATATTTTATTTATGTTTGCAGCGTCTGGTAACCACCAGAACCTACCTTCAGGAAGTCTTTCTTCATGACCTGGTACAGAGCGGCACAGGTCTCCATAACTATCAGTGAAATAGTGCTGGCCCCAATCCTGTACTGGAAGCTAAGGGACCTGAATGTTACACCTGCATCAGAAATAAAAGTCATTATAAAATATACAGTGATAAACAACAGCTACATCAATTTAAAATCTGGGAGACACACCTGTTGCTAAGAACCGCATGGTCAAAGACAGGCGCTCTCTTGGGGATATGGCCCGTCTCATCTTGGTGTGCTGTTTGGTAATGAGGGGTCCGACCATCCCCAGCAGGACGTCAAACTCCTCTGCTGTCATCCGCAGCATCTCCCTGAACCCAGTCCTGTCGTGCATCTACTTGCATGGTGAGCACAGTAATATTATATCAGAAAAAAGAAAGATATAAGCACACACAGAGACAAGTTTTCCATGATTTGAGACAAAAACAGAGCGCAAAGATTATTTATTAACCTCCAACTCTCTCTGCAGAACAGACAGTCCTTGCTGCCCGCGCCTCCCCGACCCCGACCACTCTCTCCTCCATAGTCTTTTCTTTTTCTTCCGTGTTTTCTCGCTGCACATCAGCGCACAAACTACTTGGATCGCTAGCTTCTTGCGTACGTCCATTTCTGCAGGAAAGAGCTGCTGTCTTCTTCTTCCTTTCCTTCTGCTGCTGCTGCTTCTTCTTCATCATCTGCAAGCTAAAAGTTACAATGGCGTATTGCTGCCCTCTACTGATTGTTATTACTTCTTTTTCATAGTTATATTTGTATATAGTGTGTAGATATTCCATCAGTTTCTTCCTTGTAGTCCACTTATCCAGGCTGAGTAAGATGCGCGCAGTAATAACAGTTCAATGAGAACAAGTGAAATGTGCAATCACAGTTCAGTTACTGGTTAAAATATCTGAACTTGATGGATATACAATATAGCCTATTTAATTCTGCAATGTGGAAACATTGTATGTTTTATTGTCACAGTAATGGGGACTAGTAAAGTGCACAGAGTAACAGGTGGAAGCTCTCACTTTCTGCTAAGCAGTTTAGAGGTTTGGCCAGCAGGGAATATGCATGGGAACTCATGCATTTCAATTGAAGTGACATATAACCATTAAATGAATCTGAATTGAATGTATTAATAAATAATTTGCTAGTTATTTAATGAAGAATGTCCTGGCAGGATGCAATAAATAATAGACCTGGAGAAACTACAATGTGTCTGGCAGTGTGCAGCCTACTCTAATAGGACATGAGGTAGCACAATCACTTTTATCCTTAAGAGACCATAGCAGTGTTAGAATCCTTCATCTGCGTTATAATATGAAATGAGCAAGATCTAAAAATGTATATCCTGGAAAAACTGGATAAAGTTTATGACTCTGGTAGACAACCGAAATGCTGATGTATCCAAAAAGGGGATGTGACTCCATTGACAGACAACCAGGTGAAATGCACTGTTACCTGAATAAAATTATGAATTTCTCTGGGTTTGAACATTGTTGGAAACATTTGAGATAATGTAAGTACACAACTCAACAAAACATAATATAGGTCTAGTGTTTAGAAACATTTTAATGTGGAAATATTATAGCTTTAAATGATTAACTTCTCCATTGTACTAAATTTATGCTGTTCCTTTATTATTTTCTGGGGATAAAGCTGGCCAGCCATCCCACTGCTCCTCCAACCCCGGCTGCAGCTGCAGTGGCAGCTCCCGACAAACCAGCTGCACCTACAGGAAGATTATGCAGTTTTTTAATCTACAGAGAACAAGAGAAAGACTACCATTGTTATCACACCGTTTACAGCATTATTATAAAATTGTACCTTAATGACGTGACAATGTAACAGCATTGTTGCTGTTTATGATCCAGGTTTGCCAGATGTGTGTGTAATATTTAATAATTGTATGTAGACCTACTGTGTTATTGCACACCATATGATTCCCACTTTGATTACTGTCCCAGCAATGATCATCTCAGCATTAGGACACACAAGTTAAAACCACCATATCAAGAGCAGCATTTACCTGCTGACTGCAGAACAGCCACCACACCTCCTGCTGCCACTCCTCCTCCGTTAGCAACCGCAGCAGCAGACATCATTTTAGCACCGATGGAGCCTGCAGCTACTCCAGCTGCGGTGAAACCTGCAGCTCCCAGAGCGACAGGAGCCAGGAACACAGCACCTACTGCACATGGAAACAGATCCTTATCTGTTAGACCGCTTTAAAAAAAAGATATTACTTAATCCAAGTCTACATAAAAATGTGTTAGAATCCGTTGAGAGTGTGATCCATGCAGTCTTTATGAAGTCTTACCCGCCCCTGCTCCAATGGCCACAGCTGTACCTGCATGAAAACAGACACCAACCGTTACAGCTCATCTGGTTCAATCACATTTGACATTTGCTCTGGTTACTGAACAACATATATGTAAAAAATATCTGTAGTGTCAAAGGAACAGCGACACTGACCAACAAGACCCATATCTTGTAGTTTAATTTAATCCAGAACAGTCTCTTCCTTGTGTTTGACTGAAAGACCAGGAAGTGAATCAATGTTTACTTCCCGGTCGCGTTAGTGTCCGCGTAACATTATGTGCAATAAAAGCTGTAAACTTGTATCTAATGTGCTTAATTATTAACAATTTCTAACGCTAGAATCATTTACTTTTAGTTATTATTACGTTAGAAATTCTTCAAACTACAGTAAGTCACATCATACACCCACATGACGATTCATATTCCAGTCAAAAATAAAGTGATGAATGTAATGTGCAATCAGAAAATGACCTCACAGTTCAGTTACCGATTTAAATAACTTAATATATATATATATATATTTAATTCTAGATTCTGCAGTCTGTGGTCCACAGACTGTGGATATATATTTATATATAATATATATATACTTTTATTTTCATTATCACAGTGATGGGGACATCAACACCCTGAGTGTGACAAAACAGTTTATTGTTAATGTCTGTGAAGATTTTTATAACATTGAAGAATTCTGGATTTGACACTTTCATTAGATAGATAGATAGATAGATAGATAGATAGATAGATAGATAGATAGATAGATAGGCTGATGTTACCTTAGAGCTGCACTAATCAATGTTATATGACAAATGAATCAAGTGACAGTGTAAAGTAACCAGTAAACACTTTCATATATTTTATTCCCTCAGTCGACATTATGAGGAATGGAAATATTTACAGACGACACACAACCAGTATATTTCACAGGTTTTTACAGATTTATTGCACAAAAACATGCTTTTATGTAACTAAATTTATATCATCTGCAACTGCAGTTGGCAAAAATACTGTAAATGTATCTGGTTCCTTCATGATTTTCAGTTAAAAGAAGCTGGCCAGCCATCCCACTGCTCCTCCAACGCCGGCCACAGCTGCAGTGGCAGCTCCTGACAGTCCAGCTGCTCCTACAGGAAGATCACACAGGTTAAATCAAGGTACTGAATGTTACATCTATTATAAACAGCAGTGGCTTTATATTCTACCTAAACATGGCAAATATGTGAATCTCTGTTATGACAATGTGAAAATATTTTTTTATTTTAGTTCCAGGATTGTTTTGTGTTGTTGTACTTCAGAAAGAAATAAAAGGGCCCATAATGACCCTGTGATGATCGTCCCAGAAATGACAGGTGATGGTTTTTACCTGCTGACTGCAAACCAGCCACGATACTTCCTGCTGCCACTCCTCCTCCGTTAGCAACCGCAGCAACAGACATAATTTTGGCACCGATGGAGCCTGCAGCTACTCCAGCTGCGGTGAAACCTGCAGCTCCCAGAACGAAAGGAGCTGCAGCCACAGCACCGGCTGCACATGGACAACAACAGAGGAAGACTGGGCTGCTAATTTGTTAAGACCACTTTAAAAATGGATCATGCATGAAATGGGGTTAGCATGTCTACATTAAAGTGTGTTGAAATCAGTTGAAAAAGTAAACACAAACACTGACCTGCTCCAATAACAGCAGCTGTACCTGAAACACGGGGTAAAAACAGAGATCAACATTTATAGCTCCGCTTCAGTCAGAGACCTTTGATACACTTACTATCTTTATTGCAATTTTATAAAGAAAACGTACAAATTAAAGTGCGTTTACTTTTAATGAAATTGTCAAAACAGTGGTACTCACCAGGGTCCATGGTTATCTCTGTTCTGATAAGCGCTGAGCTGGGCTGACTTTTATAACAGCTACTGAGGCTTAGGTTTCATTTCTTCAGAAATTAAACTAAGTTTGAATCTGAACCAAAGGGGGCGCCACAGAGTCAGTTTCTCCATTTGACAAAACAAAAGCTCATGTATACACTGAGGTAGTAAGTCGTGACTACAAGTGGAAAGTCAGAAACCAGTTTAGTCCTGACTGCTCCTTCAAAACAGCAAACTTTATCTTTAAATCACTGAAGGAAATTATGTTGTGATCCTGGATGTTGAGGAGACTCTTATCAAGCAGTATTTACCTGCTTTATAAAAGTTACCAGTGGCAGCAAAGCATCCTCAGCTCAAAGGTCATCTTCTGTTTACAAGTTAGAGACAGTCGATATCTGAACCCTGTTGCTGTTCAAGTTGTGAGCATCATAACAGACCTGCCTGCAGGGGCCTATTATTAATAACTGCATTTATCCTTTTGTTTGGATATTCATGGTCCCCAAAGATTAAAGCCTACGGATATTTGTGATGTCCTGACTTTTTTTTTCTAGCATCACCACGAGGATGACCTTTCACTTCACCTCTCTTCACTTTAATTTTCCACATGCCCACAGTCTGTGGAGTTCATTTATTTACAACATTGGAAAAATAACCCCACACAGTATTTATTGTCAGCAGCACAACATATAGGCAGACATAACATATTAGACAATAAATAATAATCACAGAGCGTCTTTGACTCACAGATGTATTGTATAAATTATTTCAGCAGTTTGAGATGACAAAAGTGTTGTTTATTAAATGAACTGATAATAATCATGACAAAAGTTAAAAATATTGTACATTTATTTATTTTTATTCATTTTTCCATCATCATTGCCATCATCATTGCTATCATCATCATCATCATCATTCTTTTTGGAGGATGGAATTAGAAGGCTGGTCAGCCATCCCACTGCTCCTCCAACGCTGGCCACAGCTGCAGTGGCAGCTCCTGACAGTCCAGCTGCTCCTACAGGAAGATCACACAGGTTTTATTCTATCAAAGTATCCAATTACAGAGAAGAAGAGAAAGATTGGCACTATTGTCATCACATCATACCTAAAAACATTTTACTGTGTTGCATACTGCACTAATCACCCGAATAAGACACCAGGGTTTATGTTAATGTGACCACATCAGTCTGATCATCTCATCATCATCATCTCTATTTGTTTTACCTGCTGACTGCAGAACTGCCACCACACTTCCTGCTGCCACTCCTCCTCCGTTTGCAATGGCAGCAGCAGACATCATTTTAGCAGCAATGGAGCCTGCAGCTATTCCAACTGAGGTGAAACCTGCAGCTCCCAGAGCGACAGGAGCCAGGACCACAGCACCTACTGCACACGGAAACAGATCCTTATCTGTTAGACCGCTTTAAAATGGATCATGTGTAATCTTGGTTTAGCTTTTCTACATTAAAATGTGTTCAAATCAGTTGAAGAGTGATCCATAAAGTCTTACCCGCCCCTGCTCCAATTAAACCAGCTTTAACTAAACAGAAAACAACAGTTACAGTACATCTGGTTCAATCACAGACATTGTTTGCAGTGGTTACTATCAGTATTACAGTTTTATGAAGAAAAATAATAAAAGAAAAACTATCAAACAAATATATCAACAAATATCCATATCATTAAAGGAACAGAGCAGCGATACTGACCAGCAATACCCATATCTTCTAGTCCGACAAGCTTTAATCTTTATGCTGAGCTTCAGAAATGTGAAACGAAACCACTGACAGTATATATACGGTCTCAACACAAGATGGCGGCAGAGAGTCACTTCCTTCTGTTTGACCTGACGCAGTTCAGCGTCATCAGCAGAACAGGAAGTGAATCGCAGCTATTTAACATTATTATTATTAAAAACAACAACGAAAAATAAATAAACACTTAATATTAACACACATGACTATTATTGGAACATCAGGGGGAAAAAATAAATAAAAAACCGGTAATCTGTGTACAAATCTGTATTGTACCAGCAGTTACAGTTAGTTGAAAATTAGTATTTAATGTGCAATTACCAACAATTTCTAACGCCTTTCATATTTAGTTGAATTATTATTATTATTATTATTATTATTATTGAACTGTGACTGAATCATTGCTTGTGCATGCCGACCAGTCGTTCTACAGTCAGTCATGATAAATGATAGCAATCACTTTTGATTTCCAGAATAACGTTTTCTTTTTGCTTTGATTTTTCTTTTTAATAACAAAACAACAGAGCAGATCATATGTGAGGTAAAAGTCATATAATGCAAACAGTCTGTGTAGAGCATAATTACCTGAGAGGAAACGGGTAATTTAATAATGTGCTTTCTTTTGTCCTTGCTGGTGAGATAACAACATTTAACGCAAAAACAAACAAACAAACAAAAACAATCATGACAGCTTGGGCCTTGTTGCCGTTCAGCGGGCGTGATCACGTGGTAGGATTTGCACATGCGCGCAGTGTCGAGGTGCTTATGGAGAGAAGATGCCCACTGCCATCATCCCCGTGTAGTGCAGGAGGAGAGCCACTCACCGGTCCACTCACCGCAGACTGTTCGTCTTTCAGCACAGCTGCATGTTGCAGTCTGACACCAGGAGCCTGATGTCTGTGGCTAATGCAAAACACACTGTCCTGAATCCGGTAAGAGGCTCATCATTATCTTTATTATTATTATTATTAGCAGTGCTCTGGTGCCATCATGCAGTGATCAGTAGACCTTCGTGTAGCTTATAATACAGATGCAAACTCCGTTTAAGGCGCTGGGCTGTCAGCTGTTGTCTATGAACGGCCTGCACACAGCGGACGTGAACTCACCGGCGCTGTCCGGCGGTCCGGGTACAGCCGAGCTAATAAATGAAATTATTGTAGCTCCCTCGCTTCATGTCTCCAGCTGCTGTCAGTGCAGGTATCCAGGTGTCTAACGTCAACTCTCCACCTCAGGTGATCCCATACACAGGGCCCATACCAGGAGGCCTGCACCCCGGGGAGATCATCATCATCCAGGGCACTGTGCCCCCAGATGCTGACAGGTAAGAGAAACACATTGAAGAGATAGATAGGAGGTGATAATTAAACAAATCACATCTCATACTTTAATCTAGAACAACTTCCAAACCCTGTTGTGTGCAGTTTAACGAAACACCAAACTTTTTAAACCCCTGGCACTCCCTCATTCTTTACCCTTACACACACACACACACTGAGCTAAAACCACCTCCTGTATTTTTGTACATTTCATGAATTTAATTTGACAAACTTTTGAAAGAAATAAAAATGATGTAACATCAATATTAACTTAAATGTATAGGCATATTTTCAATCAGCAGTTTTTACATCGTTGAACTAGTTTATTTTACATTTAAACTATAATTAATTAATATTTAAATTAAGTACGCTTTTGAGTAAATGTATATTTTATAATTTCATGTAAATGTTGACTTGTATTTTAGGCGGTGGAACAAAAACAACAACCACTGCTCAACATCAGCTGTGTCTAAAATATGTATGGTTTTTAAAGGAATTTATAATGACATCAGCTTTGAATTCAGCTGCTCCACCTGGAGGTCAGAGGTCAGGTTGGCAACACAATAGTGTGTTGCTCAAACAAGCTTAAGTATTATAAATACTTGTTGTCCTCTGGCTGAAGGTGAACTTAAACACTTTAGACCATCCAATAGCACTACACCACCTCATGGCTGATAAATGGGTCAGAGCAGTGGTTCCCAACCTTT